CTAGTTAAATTTTATTTCCATAAGATTGTTCACATTAATTGATTACATTCAATATTTCCACATCAATACCACCACCATTACACCTTCCCACCACCATTATTTCAAAAATTTCCCCCACCGTTCAAGTCTGCCTGCCACAAGAAGATTCTAGATAATTTACTTTCTATTGCTTATTGTGAATATTATGGGAGGTCCCGCAGCCACAAGAGCAGCTGCACACTCCTGGAATTCTAAAAGTTTAGGTAATTAATGTCCAGAGAAATCTCTGCAGTGAGCAGATAAACATTCCTGACACAGAGAGAGCTGAGGTGGGGTGGGGTGGGATGGGTGGGGGAAGGAAGCTCAGGATGGCACAGCTGCCAGCTGAGGGAGGTTCCACAGCTCTTGGTGTTATGGGCGGTGGCAGTTATCATGGATCTGAATAGAGCTCTTCAAATCCAACTCGGCACCACTGCAGAGCATGGGGGTTGGGGTCCTAGAGTGAAGGAGGCACTCCATGGGGCCCCTGTAATTTTCCACTGCAGCATTGCCCTCCCGCCATTTCCTCCCCGGACCAGTAAATGCCACCCATAGCATATTATGGAGAAAATCCTCTCTGAGTGACAACTGTCTTGAAGATGGGGATGTGTGCCCCATGGTCAGGTTCTGCTGGACTGGTGGCTGAAGCCTGCTCACTTTGCCTAAAACACATACTATAGCAGCCCTGGACCCTGCTGGGGCCACTGCTGTTGTTGTTACTGGGACCTAGGGACCCCAGGGGGCACAATACTGCTGTCAGGTCAACCTAGACCCATGGGGTAAGTGCATCAGCAGCCTGATGGTACTCTCAGGCTTTCTGATGCCACCAAAATGCTGCTGTGGCTCTGGCCAGACGTCAATAACTCAGGACCAAGTATCCTGAAAATTCAACTGCCTACAGTTAGGTATGTGGAAACCCACAAACCACCTCTGGATCTGCCATACAAGCTTATTTATAGGCCTTGTTTCAGAGACCCATGAATAAATCTCCAAAGAGATCAAAAGCTGCAGTTAATCTCAGACTTGCGGTTAATCATAGGTTGAATAGATGGGGTAGATCGAGGGGATATGGGTAGTCTGGTGCTTGCCCAAACAGAGCCCCCAGCAGCCACTTGTTCCCACAATCCAAAATTGCTGCCATGCCCCCAGCTGGACTTCACCATCTGGGATGGACCTCATCAAGGTATTAATCTGCTGAAAATTTGGATATGTAGGCTTTGTGACTGAAATCTCCAGCCTCTCTTGGGGTCAGGAGGGCTACCTTGTCACACCTCCCTGTACTCTTAGAAGCTCCAGCAGTCATGTCCACAGCCCAAAGTTGCCACCCAGTTGCAAACCATAATGCAAAAAAGGAGACAGAGAGATAAAGTCAGAGCCAGAGCCAAAGAGACAGAGACAGAGACACACACACACAGAGAGAGAGAGAGAGAGAGAGAGAGAGAGAGAGAGAGGAGGCAGATGGGGGAAGGGTGTTGGAATGGGTGTGGTAGAAGTGGGGCTGGGCAATAGAAAACAAATTGTCTACTGTTGCCTTTTCAGCAGATCTGAATGTTGGGGTAAAATCCCAAATAATAATGGTGGGTCTAGTGTCAAAATATTGAATGTAGTCAAAGTAGAGAGAGTAATGTGGAAATCATCTGCCCTACAGGTAGGGGGAGGGTGTGGGAAAAGGGTATAATGGGGTTTTGGAGGTGGGGAATGGGCACTGGTGAAGGGATGGGTGTTTCATTGTATGACTGAGACTTAAAACCGAAAGTTTTGTAACTGCTCTCATGGTGATTCAATAAATAAAATTATAAAAAATGAAGGGGGCTGTAGCGATAGCACAGCGGTAGGGCATTTGCCTTGCACCAGCCAACATGGCCGACCCGAGTTCGATTCCTCCGCCCCTCTCGGAGAGCCCGGCAAGCTACTGAGAGTATCTCGTGCACATGGCAAAGCCTGGCAAGCTCCCTGTGACGTATTCAATATGCCAAACACAGTAACAGCAAAGTATCCAATGGAGATGTTACTGGGTCCTCTTGAGCAAATCGACAAACAACAGGAGGGCCTTTACCTTTACCTTTACCTATAAAAAATGAAAAAAAAAAGAAGTGGAGCTGGGAAAGAAACTGGGGACACTAGTGGTGGGAAATGTACATTGGTGGAGGAATGGATGTTGGAACACTGTATGACTGAAACTCCATCATGAATAGTTTTTTTGATACTCTATTTCACAGTGATTCAATAAAAATAAACAATTTTTTTAAAAAATTAGAAAGTTTCCCCATGGACAATTATACCAAAGAACTTTTTGGCATTAAGAAAGAAAAAAGCATAAATATTATGAAATTATTAAAAATTCTTCAGGGGCTGAAGAAATAGTACAGCGAGTAGGACTCTTGCCTTATCTGTGCCATGCCTTATGATTTTCCAAGCACTGCCAGGAGTGATTACTGAGCATAGAGTCAAAAATAATCCCTGAGCATCTCTGTGTGTGACCCCTCCACCCAAAAGTATAAGGCACAAATGTAATAGCATGAAGACCAGAGATAGCAAAGCAGGTAGCAGCTTGCCCTTATGTGGATGACCCCGGCATCCCATATGATACCCCTGAGCATCACTAGGAGTGACTCCTAAGTGCAGAGCCAGGGGTACATAACCTGAGCACTGTTGGGTGTGGCACTTCCAAAAAAAGTAATTGCAGGAGGGGACAAACTATTTTTAAATTATTTGTAAAGAAAAAAATAGTCTGGTCACCTCACAGTTACAGTCATGTAAACTCATTGGCCTGGTTTCACAACTCCATAAGTAATCTCGGAAGAGATGCAAGTCAAGCCACTAAAATTCACAGATATATAGTCTTCAGGCTGAAAATTTGGGGGCGCTCAGAGGCATGGAGTCAAGTTTCTGACCTTCTGAAGCCCTGGAAGATGCACCCACACTCCTCAACCACCACCCTGTAAACTCATCAGCTGACTTCCACAGATCCTGGAGTTCCTAAAGTGCATGACCACACACGTGGTCAAAGACACTTCCAATTTCCACAATACTGACATGACATCAGAGTGGAAGCACACCCAATTAAATGGGAAAGTCAGGTGTGAGTGACTGCCGGGGCTTCCAGAAATATAGGGAGATGGGGGAAGTAGCCCATTCTCAACTCCATGAAAGGCTGGAGATTTCAGTCACAAAACCTGCATACCTAAGTTTAAAATGAGATTAATTTCTGGATGAGGCTCATCCCGAGCAGTTGAGTTCAGCTGGGAGCATGGCGGCAATTGTGGAGTGCGGAGGCTTTTGGCTGTTGGGACTCTGGGTGGGCACTGGGCTCAACCACCCCTGTCCGGGTTGTCCCGAATGACTAAGCCTTGCACTAGTGCAGGGTCTGGGAGAATGTCTGCTAATGATGGATTCTCATGCACATGATTCCAACACCAAAGCCATCAACAGTGCACACACTTCCCTCCATCAAAGGCCCAAGTGCCTCTCCCTTTCAAAACCTGCCCCCAGCAACTCAATTGTGTGATACAGTTCTCCCATTGTGTTGCCTTTCTTGCTACCTTGCTGTTAACTTTTAGTAACATTATTGAAATTCACAGTGTCTAAAAAGAAAAAAGGAGGGGGGGGCATCCAGAGCAATAGTACAGCAGGCACAACGTTTGCCTTGCATGCAGTCAACCTAGGTTTGAACCCTGGTACCTCATATGGTCCCCAAGTTCTCCAGGAGTGATCCCTCAGTGCATAGCAAGGAATACATCCTGAGCACAGCTGGGTGTGCCTCTCTCCAAACAAAAACAAAACAGAAAGAGAAATGATCAATTAGATTAATAACCAGGAAAACACAAACCACCAAAAATTACTCTTCAGTAGCAATGTGACTGAACAGTGGAAGGAGAGAGAAGAAAAAAAAATCAAGAAGTCTGACATCTGACAGTTGGAGATGTGGCATTTCTAATTGATATTTAAAAAAACCATCTACTTTGAATAATTTGGCATTGTCTTCTAACTTGAAGAGTTACATATTCCTCATTCAGCAGTTCTGTTGCAAGATGTGCTCCTAAGAGAGACTCTTGCAAACAAGCACTGAAGACTGTACAACTGTACATAAGATTCAGGGTTTTTATGAAGTTCTTATAAGAGAAAACATAAACACTAACAAGGAAAGAGGGGTCTGAAGTTTTAGTACAGTGGTGGGGTGCTTGCCTTGCATGCGGTTGACCTGGGTTTGATCCCTGTCAACACTGTATGGTCCCTGGAGCCTGCCAGGAGTGATTGCTGAGCGCAGAATCAGGAGTCAACCCTAATTACAGCTGGGTTATGGCTAAAACCAAAAAAAGGAGGGAGGAAGGAAGGACCGAAGGAAGGAATGAAGGAAGGAAGGGAGGAGGGAGGGAGAGCGAAAGGAAGGAAGGGAAGAAGGGAGGGAGGGAGGGAGGGAGGAAGGGAGGGAGGGAGGGAGGAAGGGAGGGAGGGAGGGAGGGAGAAAGGGAGAGAGGGAGGGAGGAAGGAAGGAAGGAAGGAAGGAGGAAAAAAGGAAGGAAGGAAGGAAGGAAGGAAGGAAGGAAGGAAGGAAGGAAGGAAGAAGGAAGGGAGGAAGAAGGAAGGAAGAAGGAAGGGAGGAGGGAGGGCACGTCAATAAAAGAAGTAAATGTTCCTGAGAGAAAGAAACTGCTAGTTACAAAAACAGCTCTGACAAAAAAACAACAACAACAAAAAAAAAACAGAAGCCTGAACAGAACTTTCCTTGAAATTGAGTAAAGAAGTAGTTTAGAGGGAAAACAGAGTTCACCAGATCTTTGAACCAAACAGTTCTACTACAGAAGACAACATGCCTGTTGCCTACTTTCCAAGAGGGTGTGTAAAATCAAGTTAGTAAACTATTGATTGCATGCACCAAAGTAAGTTTGATGTAGAAATTACAGGGCTACAGATCTTGCCACAGATGCTGAAGATCCCTTAGATACTCTAACAAATTTCTTATTTCAATCCCCCTTTCTCACCTTGCTTGCCATTTACCATGAGGTTGACCCATTCCTCGGCAGAGAACTGCTTCTCTCTGTTGTCTTCCACGTGCCAGGAATCTGGCTCTTCAGCAAACACTACACAGCAGAATTTCTCTATTCTCAGTGCGAGGACATATTTATTAGAATGTTCATCATCATCATCATCACTGACTTTTAGAAACTTACAAGTGTACTCTATCTTCTTCACTTTCTTGCAGAAGTGATAGACAGGCAACTTCTCTATGCAATTTTTCAGTCTTCTTTCTAAGGATTCAATTGTATGATTCACCACAAATCCAATGACTTGCTTATCATCATCTATACCAATAAATAAATATCCCCCATCTGTGTTTGCAAATGCAGAAACAGTTTTAGGGAGAATCTCTTTAATGCACCGAAAGAAATTTTTTGTTTTGAAGCATTTAAATTCCACATGTGTGGATTCAGTAAAGGTGAGTCTTTCCCCATATTTAAGTTGTGTCTTGCTAAAGATGTCAGCAGCCAAGGCCTCTATGGAATCTTTTTCTGGCACCTGATTGTGAGCTACCCCTGGTGTTTTAGGGATGATGTGCCCTCCAGTTTTTTTCTTCTCTTGGAGGAACTCCAAAGCAGCAGTGTTATTCATAATATTGGTACATGTTACAGCTCTTTTGTACAAATTGGATTTTACAGTGGCAATTGGGAAAATAGAGTTTCCTAAGTTCCATGCTTTGACAGAAATCAGAAAGTAGTTTTCTTTTTGTTCAAATTTCAGGTACTTAGGAACAAAGTGGAGAATGTCACGACAAGCGGTTTCCAAATCTAATCCTATTCCATCTCTTGGATAGTTGTAGTTCTTATTCTCAATGCCGATCTTTACCTTACCCCCTTTAGAATTCAGCACAGTAACCAACTTTTTTATGATGCATTCTTTCTGCTTTTTTCTCTGTTTACTATCCATATTTTCTCTTTGCTTCGAACCAAGAGTGGCACCTTTTTCTTCTAGAACCACAGGAGAGTGGTTATCTTTCAAATAATCAGTGAGTTTCATTTTCCCAGCCGCCATTGAATTTCGGAAGAAATTATTTTCTGTAAAATAGATAGGGCCATTAAAGTGAGACTAAGGCAGGTGATAGAAGTTCAGCTTTGGGAGGCAAGTCAATTGTGAGATAATTTGGGGATGGGTGTAAAATTTTGTATTTTCTACTACAAAACTATTGAATTTAAGGCTATAGACATAACATCTAATATTTCTGTTTTTTCTCTGTTTGTATCTCCTTTTTAATACCTATTATTGTACAACATTTTCCTGCTCTTCTTTCTTTAAATAAGTCCCTCAAGGAAGCTTGTTGCATGTTTTGATCTTCTTAGTGAACTGGCTTATACTTATACTTTTATTCACTGTCAACTTTTACTTTTTAACAATGTCAACTTTTACTTCAATTATCTTTTTACTGGGAGATCCTTTAGGAAAATTCTCAGTAGAGTGCAAAGACATGCAGCAGGGTCTGGGGATTTCTCAGTAGCAGCCTGGCTGCCTTGAGGACATAATGCCACAAGTTCTGTCATAACACCATTGTCAAATGTAGGTAGCACTGGCATTTGTGTTTCCTGGCAAGACAAAATTTGTGTACTCAACCAAATGTAGATGAGTAATGCAATTAACTTGTGCAATCCCCAGCAAGTAGTACAGCCACGAGTGGAACCATCACTGTACAACAACACCTTTCCCGTAGTCACAACAACAAAAAATAAGGAAAGAGGGACATTAAATAAGAAAGAAATATATCAATGTATCAGTGGTATTTTTTCTTGCAAGAATAAATTAAATTTCAGCCATAAATTTTTTTAAAAGTTTTATTAGTGAGGCACCATGAGGTACAGTTGTAGACTTACAAAATTTTGTGCTTGGGTTTCAATTATACAATAATCAAATACCCATCCCTCCACCAGTGCTCATTTCCCACCACCAAGGATCCCAGTATCCCTCCCACCCTCCATACCCCCAGACAGAGGCATTCCCTTTTGTTCTCTCTCTCCTTTTGGATGTTGTGGTTTGCAAAAGAGGCATTGAGTGGCAATCATGTTTGGTCTATAATCTACTTTCAGCATGCTTCTCTCATCTTGGGAGGATCCTCCCAACACCCTTTATTTGGTGCTCCCTTCTCTATCTGAGCTTCCTTTTCCCCTAGCATGTGTGGCTGGCCTCCAAGCCATGGAGCAAAATTCCTTCAGCCATCAATCTTAAGTAAGATTGAACAAGTTACTGTAACTTTTCTATCAGATATCCATATATTTTCTTCTTCCTTTGTTTGTTTTGACTACACTCAGCAATGTTAGGGGGCTGTTCTCTGCTCAGGGTTTGCTGCAGCAGTGTTTGGGAGACCATGAGGTGCATGCAACCTGGGCTGTCTGCACGCAAAGCAAGTGCTCAGAACTTCAATCTACCTCTCTGGTATCTATTCAATATTTCCAAGGAGGCAAATTCTTAAATCTATTTTTATGTAGTATAAACATCCCTAATCCATCTGCCTGTTCTTTTCAGATCTATGACTTCTCAACAGATAGAATCAGTTGAAAGCTGAGATCATCATAGGCTATAATCATTACTCTAGAAAAAGTTTTTTTTTTGAAGTAAATAGATTTTATTTGAAGGATTTTTAGGTATGGAGGAGAGAGAGTGAGAGAGTAATGTACTCGAGAGAGAACACGGGCTTCTCCAAGGGCGGAGAGAGCCCCTACACACATCCTAGCATTAGACACGAAAGCATGAAAGTACACATCTCAAGAGCGGAGATGCGGGCTACACATGTGCTCGGCCACGTGGGCTCAAGCGGCACATGGGCTCGGGCGGCATATGCGCTAGGAAAAGTTTTAAAGGCATCACTACATTTTTGTTTAAAATAAGATTTGAATTAAAATAAATGGGCTTTGAAACAAAAGGCATCTTTAAAGACAAAACACCACTGCCCAAGCAAGTGAAAGCCAAGATAAACCAATGGGACTACATTAAGCTCAGAAACTTCTTTCTGCACCTCAAAAGAAATGGTGACCAAGATACAGAAACAGTCCAAGGAATGGAAAATATTATTTAATCAATACCCATCAGATAAGTGGTTAATATCCAAGATATATAAGGCACTGGAAAAACTTTATAAGAAAAAACCTCCAACCCCATTCAGAAAAATGGGGAGAAGAAAGGAACAGAAACTCTTAAAGAAGAAATGCAAATAAATGGCCAAAAGACACATAAAAATGCTCTACATCGCTAATCATCAGAGAGATGCAAACTAAAACAATAATTAGATATCACCTTACACCACAGAGACTGGCACACATCAAAAAGAATAAGAACAACAGAGGATGGTGCAAACACTGGGAGAAAGAGACTCTCATTTGTTGTTGGTGGAAATGCTGACTGTTTCAGTCTTTTTGGAAAATAACGTGGGAATTCCTCAAAAAACTAGAAATTGAGCTTCCAGGTAACCCAGCAATACCACTTCTGGGAATACACCCCCAGGGTGCAAAAACACACAGCAGAAATGCCATCGGCACTTGTATGTTGATTGCAGTACTGTTCACAATAGCCAGAATCTGGAAGCAACCCGAGTGCCCAAGAACAGACGACTGGTTATCTACATAATGAAATACAATGCAGCTGTTAGAAAAATGAAGTCATAAAATTCGGATGGACATAGAGAGTATCATGCTAAGTGAAATAAGTCAGAAGGGGAAGGACAGAGAGAACGACTACACTCACTACATATATATTATATATATTATGAGACTAATACCCAAGTAGAAACAAGGGTCAGGGCGAATAGTCCTTGGTTGGAAGGCTACCTCAAGGGCTAGGGGAGAGGGCAGTTGGGATAGAGAAGGGATCATTATGACAATGATGGCTGGAAGACATTGCTCTGGATGGGAGATTTGTGCTGAAACTGGGCAAAGGAACACACGTGATGGCATCTCAGTATCTGTATTGCCAACCATAATGCCCAAAAGAAGAGGGGGGAGAAGGGAGAGAGGGAGAGGGAGTGAGAATAAAAGTACCTGTCATAGAGGTAGGCTGGGGTGTTGGCGGCAGGAGGGATATGGGGGAAATTGGTGGTGGAAAATGTACACTGATGAAGGTTGGAACATTGTATGACTGAAACTCCATCATAAAAGCTTGTATTGCATGGTGATTTAATAAAATAAAACAAAGTGAATAGGGTACCAAAGGCAATAGGAATGAAGAGCAGGAGAACTTGTCTTTAGTAGGAAGTTTGTCATGGAAGTAGGGGTTGGGGAATAAGTTAAGGGGGAAACACTAGGATAATGGAGAAGAGGAACAGTGCTTGTCACAGCAACCGCCTGGGGTGCAGAAGGTAAAGTAGGGACATTGGTGGATGTTAGTGGGCACTGGTAAAGGAATAGGTTATTAGAACAACATACACCTGAAAATAATCATGAATTCTTTGTAACTTTGTAATTCATGGTGATTCAATAAAAAATAAAATTAATTAACTTTGAGAGAAAACTTAATAGCTGCAGTGCATCCTTTGCACACAGAAAGGCTGAGTTTCATCCACACCACATTTGGTCCCCAGAGCACTGCCAACAGTTACCCTGAGGATCAAGCCAGGAAGAGTCCCTGAACACCACTTCGTGTGACCCCAAAATAATAAAAAAAATAAGAATTAAAAAATATTCTTGTCCATTGCTGAGCAAGTTCCCTGCAGAGGCTCTCAGCTAGATACTGGGGATATGCCAGCTCTGTTGTATAAATTCCTGATCCTATTGACATCACAGTTATGGATTTAATGTTTGTGCTCCCCCAGAAATCTGTATGTTGGGGCTGGAGAGATAGTAGAGAGGATAGGGTTCTTGCCTTGCACGTGGCAGATCCATTTTCAATCCTGGTATCCCATATGGTCCCCTGAACGCACCAGAAGCAGTTCCTGAATGCAGTGCCAGGAGTAATCCCTAAGCATCACTGGGGTATAGTCCCCCCCCAAAAAAAACTGTTAAAACATTACACTATCAATAATAAAAGGTAAGGCCTTTAAGAGGTAGATGAGGTTGAATAAAATCATAAGTGTGGAACCCTCATGCATAAAATTAGTGCCCTTCTAAGAATCACAAGAGCTTGCTCCCTTTCCCTCATCTCTCCCATGAAAGAAAACAGTAAGAAATCATTTGTCTGGGCTAGAGAGCTAGTACAGAGAGTAAGTTACTTGCTTTTTGTGTGCTGAACCAGGTTGAATCCCCAGAATTTCATATGGTTTCCCTTCCCACCAGAAATAATCCTAACTCCAGGAGCTAGAAGTAAACCTGGGCACAGTTGGTGTGACCCCAAATGAACAAAAACTAACAGAAGAAATCAGTGCTTTGCAATAAAGAGGTGAGGTATTCACCAGACCTGACCATCTTGGGTTTCTCAGCCTCCACTACTGTGAGAAATAATTTTTTGCTGATTATAAGCCACTCATTTTATAGAATTTTCATAACAGTGTCCAAAGCATATTAAGACAGTGATAACATCTTTGGTGTTCTAGCCTTTTTGCATGATTGGGATTAAATCAAGTTAACTCATATGTCATGTGGACATTTCACACATATAAATGTAAATTCCATATATTCCACATGACAGCAAAGTAAAGGGGCTAACTAGGTATTCAATAAATACCATCACTCCCAACATAATCCAAGGTCTCATGCCTTTGCCCAGGTGTGTTCTGAGACTCTAATAATCTCCTCCACTTTTGCCATCTTGTAAATTTCTTTCAAACATCCTGGAATTCCACTGTTGGCCTTCTTCTTATCCTCAGGGCTCCCAAAGAGTTTGGTATATATTGAAATTAATAACCTCTCCATGGATTTAGAAAGTTTTTAGAAACAGATCACTGAAGGACCCAGAGAGTATGTCTAAAACTAAATGAGCAAAGGATAACTACAGTTTAGGACACAATGAGGAATGGTTTGGGACATGGTTTCTGTCTGGATCCTGAATGTCTGGTGTGCAGAGCACCCTCCCTGCTCCAGAAATCCTCACTTGGAAGTCTTTGCACTCCTTCTATGCCT